TGCAAAAAGGGAAAATTCTCACCAGATGAATAAAGTGTATGCAAAATATCTTCGAGCGATGACCATTGCACCAGAAAGCGCAATACTATTCTCTGCCTAGTTAAACCGAATGCGATACGAACATTCCACTAGACTTTTAAAGAAGACCAATAAATATTGACTTTAAGCGTCATCGATACGGATACAGCAACACCCCTCCACCACTGGCAACGACGTTATCCTCACGCTATCCTAGCACATCATCCATAAAACTTGCAAAAGTTATTATACTTAATATCTAACATCTACGTAGGCTAAAAAGATGCACCTTTGCATCCGTCTTTAATTCAATATCATAAGACGGCTGTTCCGACACATCGTGGCAATCGACTGCCCTAAGAGTTTGAGAGTTCATTAAAAACTTTTTTGTAAATTCGTATTTCTCGTTCGATTTAACCATGTATACTTGTATAACAGGAGGCTTCTCAATTGAAACTAAAGTAGCATTGAGAATAGGGACAGTTACTCGAAAACGCCAAAAATTTTGCCTTCTTCCTGACTTTGTTAAGCCTTCTAACCTCCACTACACATGCAATTCGCTCATTTGTCGAGTAAAATAGCTTCACAAGTGTGGACTTCAACTTCGCGTCCATTCGTGAGGCGCCATTCAATCTGAGCGATATTTGCAGTACAAATTAAAACAAATTATGTCTAATTGTTATAACTGCGTCTGCTATAAAAATGATACATATGCATAAATTCCCTGATAGTTGCATCGAATTGGTTACATACAGCCGCATTTTTTCCTTTTCATATGCAATTTTTACACTAAATATTTTTATACATGTTATACTCCTATTGGCTGGTTCCCCGTACACGTAGATTGATTGCAGCCAGCGCTGTCTATAGCCAAATAGCTAAGCTATCTCCATACAAGCTAGCATAGGCTTGCTGGGCGTGGTAAGGCTACCTATATTTCCTACCTCTGTATGTGGTGCCTTTTTGACGCTTGGCTTTTATATGCCTTTAGGAAGAAATGAGTCGTGTTCTAAAGGACAAGAATAGACCTAAGGGGGCGATGTCGGCTTACGCTTGCTTCGTTCAAGTTATACGCGAGGAGCACAAGAAGAAGCATCCAGGAGAACACATTGTTTTTAGTGATTTTTCTCGCAAATGCGCTGAACGCTGGAAGGTACGTCGTATTTTGCATAGACAGCTCACATTTCTCAGATTATGACTCCTAAGGAGAAGAAGAGATTTGAAGACATGGCGGCCTTGGACAAAGAGCGTTACAATCGTGAGATGGTCGATTATGTGCCTCCAGAGGGAATGAAGAAGGGCAAAAAGAGGAAGGCGGCTAAAGATCCCTCTGTTCCGAAGCGTGCTCTTTCAGCGTTCTTCTTCTTTTGCGATGAATTTCGTCAACAAATTCGCGACGAGCATCCAGAATGGAAAGTCGGTGATATCGCGAAGGAGCTCGGACGAAGGTGGGAGGAATGTACTGAAAAGGCGAAATATGACACGCTTGCACAACAAGATAAGCAACGCTACGAGGAGGCATGTGTTCATTCGGTGTTGCTTCCGTTTTTCTGGCTTCTCTTACCACTCCTATTCCTTTCTAGGATATGAACAAATATCGTCAGGGTATCTATGTTCCACTGAAGAAGCAGTCCAAAGCTGACAACTCGACAGTTTCTAATCCTGAGACGGGAAGCGGTGATGTTGTCGCCGAGAATGGGGAAGAAGAAGAGGAGGAGGGTGGAGACGAGGGAGAGGATGAATAAAGGATCCAACTGGCTGATTCGTTCAATTCTGTACAGTTCGTGTCTCGTTGCATTTATCCTTCAGTATGTACGCTCTCGCTTGCCCACCGTCATTACTATTTTTCTATGCTGCGGCGATGTTGGAACCACCTTGTAATCAACTTCCCTCAATCAACCCATCTTACGTCTACGCAGCCCTTGTTGTCTTTTGTGTGTACCCTTTGGATAGTGGTCTTTTTCTATAGTGCGATTGTATGTCTATCCTTTCGTTTTCTTTCGGAGGGTGAGATGTAATCAAAGTTGTATAAAGAGGCCGTGAGTACCACGGAGCTCGTTGGTCAGTGTTCTGGCTCCTCACTTCCTCACCAAAGTCTATGACCAGTCGTAAGATTTTGATGTGGATAATATGCGAATCTCGGGGCGGTTCTTCTGCATTACATTTTCGACTGAGGCTCTCGTAGTAGTGTCGTGGCACGAGGTGCGAGTCCATCTGGCAAGTTCTACATCACAAAGTAGGAGCGCTAATTGACCTATGATAGGTTCTCTGGGCTAAAGCCCTTCCTTATTGTCTTTAACCGACTAACGGGGGACTTTCACTTGTGGCTCTCCGATGCGTCCCTTTCTCGGGGTGTTTGGTGTCACTTGCGTTTGGGCGGATGGCAACTTTGTTTGGACCATTGGTCGGCTAATTCTGAGCCGACGGTAGGGTGTTGTTTCTGGACATGTTTTACTACTTTTTGGAATCAGCACTATTAAGCTGCAAAGGCATCCAACCTACCCGTCCAAATGTCGGTATTTAGAGGATGAGTTCCAATGCCGAATCACCTATCCGGCCTCAACAAATCAATGTGGAGCATAAATTACGTTTGATTGTCGTCGGTGACGTTTGTCTCATGATGCCACTTTTAAATGAGCTTCTTGATAATCACATGTTCGCTTTCTGAACACGGGGCTCTGAAATGCCACTTGTCTTTGCATACAGCCCCAGTAATAACCTTATGGATCATGTTACTGCTCAAAGAATGAAAAACTTCGCCAATGGTCTGTGAGGGCAGAAATTGGCTGCATAGCTAGGACCTGTTTCAATGGAAGCTTTCTTACGCGAATCAAGACGGCCTAGAAGCACCATCACCGCTCGAACATAATATCCAGTTCCCAAGGTCTTCAAAACTTTCCTGCTTATTGAGATCCCCAAATTTGTCAACTACGCGACGTGGTAGGGTTCTATGGAATGCTTTACAACTACCCACTACTCTGTTTGAAAATACCTCGTGTACGTAGTGGAACCACAGGAGCGATCTATCAAAAACAAGCCAAGACTATTGGTAGACTAATGGTAACATAGTAGGACGGGCAATTTTCGACGCTTTCTTGCGTTATTTAATGCAAATGCAAAAAGTGTATCCTATGTCATCAAGGTGGCTGGGGCTGGGCTCAACATACTATGTTGGTTTAAAAAGGTAAGCCTAACACTCGGGCAGTGAAAGTGACGCTCATGTACCCATTGATCACGTTTGTTTACCATCTATGTGAACACGTAGCAGTTCCCTGTCCTGTAAAGGCAGCATTTTTTGCCAAGTAGGTACACAAAGTTGTGAAACTTGGTTTAAAAAGCCCAAACTTAACAGAGGCGGCAGAAGTTGGATCACTGATACACGTACATGGCTTAAGCCCAGCGCATTGAAGGTAGTCTGGTGCAGTCAGTTAGTTCATTGGACCGACGCAATACGATACATGAATGCTGCCGCCCTTTAGCGGCCATAGCCTGTGGCCTGGCCCAGCCCAGTCTGACGTGGTGTGGAGTGGCGTGGCACAGTGTGCGTGTTATTGCTGTGGTAAATGGAGGACAGGCGCATCCGTCGACCGACTCGTACGTGTATACGCGCGCAAGGGGGGCACCCACGCACTCACGCGCGCTCGCCCTCGGCTACGCGTTTGGCTGACTCACCGCACACCCTACAAGCTGCATGCGCGTGTAGCGTCCAGACGAGGACACGGCGCTACCCCAGCCTCCTGCCTCCCGCCTCCTTCCCCTCCCCCTCCTCCTCCTCCTCGTGCGCTTGCAATCCACGAGCCTATGCTGGCACTACAAACGGAGCCTAGCGCCACAAACCTCTGTCACAATTACGATCAACATGGTTTAGCAATTTGGTTCATGCATGTCGTCGTCAAACTGCTTTGTTGATGAATAGATCAGGTGCTTTTATTAGGCACCTGACCCACTTTCTCTAGTGGGAATTCTCCATTAATATTAATTTCGATAAAGAAGTACCTATATACCTAGACCGGTTAAAGAAAATACACCTGAGAAAGGAACGCGGCTACATGTATCAATGCGAGAAGTTTGCTTCTTATCAATGAGGCCTGAGGATTTTATAGTATTCGTAGCTTCATAGCATTATTAAGGTGGTTGACCATAAATGATTGCTCCTAGTTTACACCTGGAAGCAGAATATTTTCAGTGCGAATGAAGTGCTGCATAAACATTGACCCTTAGATTCCTTCAGTTGGGTATTTCTTTGTGCTGATTGGGAAAGTACGAACGAGTCAATGGGATTATCAAAATTGACCTACTAACTGGGCTAGATATGGAATATTTTGTATACCCCACCTCACCTACTCGAACCAGGATGAATGTCTTCCTTCAAGCCCGATCAATCAGGCCTCATCGTCAGCCACGGAACCAGGGGCGCCCAATATGTGCTGATGCTCAGGTCACCAAGTTTAGAGCCATTCCCATTCCCCCTTCCCTTAATGCAGTGACTAGATTAGTTTTTAAACCTACTTCAAATTGTGCACTTTACTTTCAGTATCAGGAGTTGAGTCACACATAAAATTGGCTTTTGCGCAATTGATGACCAAACTCAACAACGTGCCATCAACATCTAGGCTTCGAAGAAAATTGAAGTTTCCCAGTTAAGGACCATCAGAACCGCTTATAGAGTATCAGAAACTTTGAATGTATGTTGTGTCGCTTTTCAGGCCTAATTAGTTTTGATGGTAGTATTCAGCTGACTGAATATCAAGGTTCACAGTTCTGCAGCCTGCAAGCTCATATGACCTTAACTACCAAACCGAAAGCCATTTACATCAACGCCGTCGCATAACGACTCCTACTGTGTGAATTTACCGGTGTTAATGTGGGTGGAGTGTAACGCTCTCGAGAAGATTCGTAACTAATCCCCACGAACACAATTTGTTAATGACCGATTCTTTTCGCAACCTTAGCTGAAAATGACAACTCACTCACCTAGAAGAAGCACAGGAGAACATTCATAACCAAGTAATGTCTCTCTGAAAATGGAACTGCTCAATCGTTTAACATTTTAAAGGTACAGACGTGGATACGCCAGTAAGCAAACAAAGTAGCATCAATCCATACCACACAAAACAGACGACATCGGCGGAAAGCTACTACAAACACACAGATCAGTGTTATCGATGCACCAAGGCCACGCCACGCCACGCCACACAAACCTATTTCAATCAACTACACTAAATCTCGCACAGGTAATTTGTTACTAAAAACTAGTAAGCAACAAATTTTTAGTAAGAAAGTTGGTGCTTTAGCACGAAAGCTAGTGTTTTCAGTGCCTGCTTTGCCTGCACGATTGCAGCGGATATAATCTCAAACAAGATTAAGCGAAATTACATGCACCTTATTCCCGAATTTATATTCAAAATGCACAGAAAAGGCATAGCCGGGTGCGAAAACAAACAACTAGGAGAGAAGCGACCTGAGGGTCGTTCAATGCGGGTAAAGCACGAAAACTCAAGTGAACTTAAGATTTATTTCGGCTTACACATAAATTTAAAAATTCATACAGTCAGAGATTCGCCATATGTCCTGAGAAAGAAACTACAACTCACAAAGAAGTTATAAATAAAAAACCATTGTCCACTAATCCAATTTTAGTAGTTAGAATGCTTACACTCAAGCGCATGTGGAATTCGGGGATTTGAAAACCATAAGAATAAGAGCAAATGTTCAGTATAATGAATCAAGAAACGAAGCAAATTAATGAAACCTTGGTGCAATCGATGTTGTAGTTGATAAAATACTTAGTACTTTCTGTAATGCATTATATGTTTGAGTGTCTGTTTCGGCGGCGAGCATTTGAGCAGCCATATTACTTCTGCTATCTATGGGAATGTCATGGGCGCCGCATTGGTGGTCGCCAAAATCCGACCTGATCTTCGAGACTTCTACCATTTTTACCAAAGTTCATGAAGAAGATTGCGACACAAGTGAAGTTTATAGGATTTGCTGGGCATGTTCTCTAGCTTTTTTAGTAATGGAGGTGGCTTTTTTCTGCATATTAACAGCAGAAGCGGCGACTTTAGTGAGTCACTAATTCAGTTCCATGTTTGGAGCTACTCTTGCTAAGACTAGGCGCAGAAGGCAGCAACGTAAAATTGCGCTGATTCCCCTTTACGTAGATTTTTGTGCAATTTCTTACTCCGTAACACAAATCTGTATGTAGACCAGTGATCCAACGTCTACTCTTGGACTAGTATGACGGTCAGTGGACTCCCTATTCAAAAGCCGAATAAAGGTTTTGAACTGACCAAAGCCTTTGGGAAGGATGTGACAGAAATATCAAGAATATCGTCTCAGTCACAGGGGTGCTGGCAGTTGACGATGACAGCTCGTGTGTTTTACAGCACTGATAACCTTGTTTTATTTGCAGTAAGTGGACTAATGGGAAGCGCCAGGGCGGTCGCTAGGACGAGGCGTTGACGTAGATAATGCATAGATTTTTTGGTTGTCGGTACATGGTACGGCCACATAAGGAGCCATATTGACCTTCCCAATTGCGCTAGTCTGTGAGTCCTTCGCGACTCATCACATGCATCCGACTTAAGAACATGAGGACCCTTTAGCCCGTTTAGAAAAACTAAATGTATATATCTTTTAACGAAGGAACCAATAATGAACCTAGGCGATTAGGTGAATAGGACCAAACATCATCAACAAGTAGTTAGGGGCGCCTTAATATAGCAGAACAATAGCACAAACCCGAATAATATCACAAGAATTAGCACTTATTACGTTCACAATAGTAATGATTTGATACAATATTTTAGTGAGTATTTAATCAGCCAAATTCGAGGAATTGTATTTTCCAAAGACATTCGCACCTTTCTTAGACTTCTTTGTGCGTAATTGCTCGAGTTGAATAAATGCACTTAGGCAAAATGGAAGGGAATTGGGGTTTGCGGCATGGATCCGGGGACAGTCTAATCAGCAAAGTCAATATGGCCGCTCCAAATACTAATTTTTATGCTTTATGCTCATAGACACTCGGACGAAGGGGTAAAACGATTTTTAAAATGATATCTTACTTGCACCATGGAATCACCATAAAGTGGGCAGAATTGTAGCCTGTGCTCTGACCTAATCGAGATGTATATGCATTTTTTAAAAATACAATAACATAAACAACATA